TGGAAAGTGGAAAAGAGACTAGGATTACCTGTCATATGATTTGTTGCACTAGAAATAATGACCCACTGAGAGGAAGAAGAAAGAAGACATGTATTGATTTTACCTGACTCAGCAAGGGCAGTGATGGACTCTGAGAGGAGTTCTTTAATGCCTCTTGATACTKGGTAAATTTCGCATACTCATCTGCAGAAATTGTAATGGTCTGATCTGACAATGGATGAGGAGCATCACTCGTAGTTACAACATGAGTTGACTGAGACCCAGAAGAYTTCCGGTTTTTCTTTAGCAATTTCTGGCAAGTCCTTTTAGTGTGACCTGGTTCATGACAATAGTAGCAAACTACTTCCCCCGTGTCCTGAGTTCCAACATTCCGACCACTATTACTGCCACCTCTGCTACTATTCTGAGAACAAGACCGGCCAGTTGATCCACTATTCTAGCTGACAAGTGCACTAGGTTGTTGTACAGGTGAGGTATGGGAACTAGTATCTGTACGAAGGACCCTAGTAAAGACCTCCTTTAAAGAGGTAATCTCAGGATTAGACAAAATCTGTGACTTAGCACCATCAAATTGAGGATTAAGGCCAGCCAGAAAACTCATAATAGCCATCTGTTCACATTGAGTCTGCTGAACTTTGATATCAGTACTGAAAGGTAACAACGCGTTCAATTCCACATAAGTGCATTTGGAATTCATGAAATAGGTCTGTAGAGACTGATCCTGTTGTTCAGCCCGATAGAATGCCTTGCAAACATAAAAAATACGAGAAATATTTTCTTTACCAGAGAACATAAAAGCCAAATATTCCATTAGTTGTTTTACAAACTCACAGTGAGAGACATGACCGACGTACTCATTCTCAATAGAATTACGGATTTGCAAAAAACAATTGAGCGCCAACTCTTAGCCATTCAGTACGAGTCTCATCAGTAGGAGGGTCCTTAGTTAGATGGTTGTCCTTAGAGATACTYCGTAAATACAAATGAACAGTCTTACTCCAGTCTAAATAATTAGTTCCGTTTAGTTTTTGTTCAGTGATTTTAGACAGAATGGGGATAACACTAGGCATAGCCMAGTTCTTCTGTTCAACCGCCATCATAAACACAAGAAAATAGACTTTTGACAACCAGCAAATCCAATAAAACACACTTAAACAGAATCGACAGCAGATGCAACACCCAAACAGCAAGAAATCA